GGAGAGTTGCGGTCGTCGAAGGGCTGGTCACCGAGCCAGTGGGCCAGGGAGTTGACGCAGAAGGTAGCCTGTTGCACGAAGAAGATACGCAGAATACCGGCGTACACGAATCCGCCGTACCAGTCACCCCAGCCGAGACCGGAGACCAGCATGGGGACGATGAGACCCATGGTGAGCACGACCTTGATGTAGTTGCGGTGCTGCCAGACGACAACGGGGTCTTCGTTCAGATCAGTGATGTCAGTGCGACCAATCCGCTTGGGGTTCTGCTTCATGACCATCCATCCCAGGTGGGAGTACAGCAAACCCTTACGCACGGAATAAGGGTCCTTGTCGGTGTCGGTGTAACGGTGGTGAGCGCGGTGGTCACGAGCCCACCAGCGGATGGAACCCTCGACGGCACCACCGCCAACCAGAGCGAGCCAGATACGCAGAGGCAAAGTGGCGGAATAAGAGCAGTGAGCCCAGAGACGATGGTATCCTGAAATTGAAGTCAGCTCATGTTTTTTGGTAATTCAGTTCAACAGAACTACTTACCAGCTGTGATGCCCAGTCCGGTGAAGAAGTAGTAGATGACTGCCCAGATGGCGGTCTTCAGCTGCAGAGGCACCCAGAAAGCCTGGACACAACCCGCGAGGGGAATGCCGATGATGAAAGTAACGTTCAGCCAGTTGACGTGCTTGTACCAGTTCTGGCGAGTCATCTGAGTATCGGCGATGTGCACCTTCTTGGTGTCAGCCGCCCGAGGGCGTGAAGCATCCGGCTTGGACGACATGATGAGTGTGAAGAAGGTTGGAAGTTCAATCTAGGAGGACCAAAGGGATTTTTATACTTGGGCCCACTTGGGACCAACGTTGGGGAGCCGGGGCACTGCCGGGGCACTGATCGCCAACGTATATGGGGAAAATAGGGCTAAAAGACGAATCAAATGAAAGAGAAGATTGAGCGTCACAAGATCCCGAGGTGAAAATGACACAGAAGAAGAGAATAATTGCCTTATATGCTTGTGCTGGTAGACTTTTGTACTTCCCTTTGTTCGGGAGTGGCGTGCCTCATCGCTTTCTGGCGAATGTTGGGTCCAGCCAGCCCCAACGCTTTGATGCCTCAGGCAGTAATTGACCAATCAGCGCTCGATGGCAATCATGTTTATGTCAGCACCGTTCCCAGCAGACCCTTGGAGCCATCTAGGGCTCTCCGGGTTCCACGGGTGGATGTTAGTCCCACCAAACGATCATATTGAACTCTCGGGATTTCTAGGGATTATTCTGTTTGGTCCAATCAATTTTTCAAAAGAACCTTGGAAGGCAATAACACGCAGAATACTCCGTAGTCAACCTCAAGCGTTCCTTACAGTTTGTATTTCCGACCTAAACACGGGGTTTCCCCTCGACCCCTTCCCTGACCATTTAGAGAAGGGTCGAGAGAACTGGTCATCATCCATACTGATGATGTCATCACATGCGTGTTCAGCACGATGTACACGATGTACACAACATACAACGGAATGTGTGAAATATGTACATACTCGACCGAATCTCATCAAATTATGACCGACTTCTCCATTCCTGCAGGAAACCCATCATGTGTTCGCCACATCAACCATCCTCGCGATACCAAACAGATCACGATTCAATATCGCGTGGCCCAGCGGTGACATAAGAATGAACATCGCAGTGAAAAGTGAATCTAGAATGAAGTCACCAGGGAAGGAAGGAGAACCGATGTGATGTTGGGAAACAGATGATGATGCATCACGGGCACCTAATGAGTTCAATGTTGCTAAAAGACAACAAAAAAAAAACAGAGTCACAGATGATGTCCGAGTCGAATACTAGGGGATATGCTTGTCTGGAACAACGCGGGATTTCCGAGCCTCCAAAGTATACCGACGTTGTTATCCGCCCAACCATTACTTCCATCTACATATGTTGTAAGTATGACCACAGGAACAAGTCAACCGTCGAGACAATCACAATATCTGATCCTATATGACGATTACCACCAAGCCTCGAATATCGTTCCCAGTATGTAATGACAGTTTGATAAGGCGAACCTGATGTACAAAGTATGGTCGGAGTCTTCCACCTCCCATACTGTTCACGGCACCCTCCGACTGTCAGATCTCAGCAAGATAGCAGAGAACGTTCGATCGTTTCCGAGTTGTGGATGTCGGCATACATTTCGTACATAGGAGACTGCCGGTATCCTCCCTCGCCAATAAGGTGGCCTACATTGACTCCGCTATCTATATGGATACATAGCTCTGACAATGTCGAAACACATAATATGGGGGAACACGGGAACTCTGGTTAAACAGAACACCCCGGGACCTTTCATCTCCTTATCTTTCTCCACTTGCCCAGGTGGAGCAGTCGATCCTCCGTGATCCATAATTGGCTGAATTCCTACCCGACCGAGATAAGGCGGGGGCTCTAACCACATCCAGACAAGCGGCCAAAGGGGTTATGCGATGCTCTTGCTAATTGCCTGGAGATTTGTCTGATAACAGAAATTGGGTTATCATTTTCTATGTTGTATGTTGTATGGAGTGTCCAGAGTGGATTCTTTTTTTTTTTAGTCATCTCCTCTGCGGGCTTGAATTTTAGAGTTACCGAAGTTCGGGGTGTTTTGTTATTTTTTTTTTGGAAATCTTTAAATATAAACCTTCTGTCCCCGTGTGATAGTTCAATATTTACCTACAAGATAGGTAGATTCATTATATTGAACATTCAATATGGACGGTCCAGATCAGATTGGCCCCGATCATACTCGCAAGCCCACAATTAGCGACAAATTCCGATATACTATCAAGACTTTCACCACACGGTATGACTTCAAATGATGTGTTGTGGAGGGGTCCTTGACTCACAATAAACAGAGAGGGTTTACTAGGCGACTACGACTATGGATACCTCTTTATCCCACGACTACCTTTCACAAAACGAGCTCGCAAATCCGCCCCATTCTTCGGTCTCGAGGATCGCGTGCCAGTCGTTCTCGCATTGATTCTGGGTTTGCAGCATGCGCTTGCAATGCTGGCTGGTGGTGAGTACTAGAGACACCTACAGAATGTACAAGCAAAATCTAAGAGAATCAGTGATTTCACCACCAATTTTACTCGGCGGCTCAGGCGGCGCGCACTTCGGTGATGAGCTCTACCAGTACCTGGTTTCGACTTCCTTGATCGTTTCGGGCTTGTTGAGTGCTGTTCAAATGTTCCGGTTCCATATCAAGGGAACAAAATACTATATCGGAACTGGACTACTATCAGTCGTTGGTAAGAGCGTCCCCTCCATTCTCTAAGAAACTCCGCCTCTGATGCTAATTGGTTCAATCAGGTACATCTTTCTCAACAATCACAGTCGCTCAAGGCGCCTTCGCCCAAATGTATAAATCGGGTTACTGTCCCTCCCTCGAAGATGGAACCCAGCTCCCTTGTCCAAAAGGCTATGGCGCACTCCTCGGTACTTCATGTCTCTGCTCCCTCCTCGAAATCGGCATGTCCTTCATGAGCAGCAAGATTCTCGCCCGCGTCTTCCCCCCACTCGTCACCGGGCCAACTGTTCTCCTGATCGGTGCTTCACTCATCAAGTCTGCCATGCAAGACTGGGCCGGTGGCGCATCGTGTGGTGTTGACCCTTCCGCCCGCGCATTGTGCCCTAGCGCCAGTGCCCCACACCCTCTACCCTGGGGAAGCCCCGAGTTCATTGGGTTGGGATTCCTGGTTTTTGTGACAATTATCGTCTGCGAGAGATGGGGCCCTCCCATTCTTAAAAGTTGCTCCGTCATTGTTGGTCTGTTGGTTGGCTCGATCGTCGCTGCCGCCTGCAACTACTTCGATTCTTCCGGTATCACTGCTGCACCAGTGGCTTCATTCGCTTGGGTCCACACCTTCCCACTGTCCGTGTACCCGCCGCTCATCCTGCCGTTGCTGGCGCTGTATATTGTTATCATGATGGAGTCTATTGGTGATATCACGGCGACTTGTGATGTCTCCCGTCTTCAGGTCGAGGGTGATACATTCGATTCCCGCATCCAAGGCGGTGTCTTGGGTAACGGAATCACCTGTCTCTTGGCCGGCTTGATGACCATTAGCCCTATGTCCGTCTTCGCGCAGAACAACGGTGTGATTGCGCTGACAAAATGCGCTAACCGCACCGCCGGCTACTGCTGTTGCTTCTTCCTGGTTATCATGGGCATTTTCTCCAAGTTCGCCGCTGCGCTGGTTGCAATCCCCAGCCCCGTCCTTGGTGGTATGACCGCTTTCCTCTTCAGTTCGGTGGCAGTTAGTGGTCTGCGCATCATTGGGTCTGTCGATCCCACCCGTCGCAACCGGTTCATCCTCACCGCTAGTTTCTCTATTGGAATGGGTGTCACACTCCTGCCGGAATGGTTCGACTACTTCTTCACCTACACGGGTGACAATCATGCCCTTGAAGGTCTGATCAATGCCGTCAATCTGGTCATGGAGAACGGGTTCGCTATCTGTGCGCTTCTCGGCATCTTCCTTAACCTTTTCATTCCCGACGAGCCTGATGATGTTCCTGCTATCTTTGAGTCGACCGACTCTGATGATGCCCGTACACAGACCAATATTCCTGAGCAGTCGTCGCCAAATATTAAGACCGCTTGATCTTGGGGGGCTTGTATAGTTCTGTCATATATGGAGTTTGTGTGGGGCTAAATCTGCCCTTAGCGTTGTTTTTAATACCTATATTGCAATTTTATGTTTATTTTTCCTTATGATTCTTTTCCACACTCTACAAATGATGTCAGACAGACCTGGGAACCATTCTGAATAATTGACAAATGGCAGTAAAAAGTTACCTTCTCTTCTTAACTCTGTTTATTGTCTGATTGGGGGACTCCTCTTCTGCCGGATTATTTTACCTTGTATTGAACCTCTGCAGAGCTGTCTTGAAAACATCATCCAGGATACCGAGTACTTTGAATGGATTCGATATCCGACTCCAATACACAAAAGCCACAGTAACCCTGACTCAGACCCATTGCCATCTCAAGAAGAAACCCGCGACTTGACAATCATCGTAGCTCCTCATGATCTTATCTACACGTTCGTGCACTGATGGAGGAATCGTTGCGATTTGAATGATCACACATAGGAAATTCTCTGTGAATATCCCCGTTGTAACTTCGTGTCCAGCAATCCATCCACCGCCGATGCCTCGTGCATGGTATTTGTTCCCTCCAGGTGTGGAGCTAGTGCCTTTGTGGAGGTAGAAGGCCCAGTGGAAGTCGTTGGGGAGGGGTGGGTCGGAGCGGATATAGAGGCTGATGTGGAGGGTGCTTGGGGGGAGCCCCGCTAGGCTCTCAGCTTGTTTTTTCTTTATGATGTCTGTGGATTTTCGTCTTGCTTCGGTACGAGATGTTGGCTCGGCCATTTTGATAGTGGGTATGCGGGATATGGTGGAGGGGGCAACTGCCAAGGATTGACAACAAAGCTTGGAATATTAGATGACAGGGGTGATGGTGTCAGGGTAACTACAAACAACTACTACCTATATCCATGGATGTTAGCATATGCCTAGCAAGCAGAATATCGTGTTTCTTACTAGCTTCTGTTGATTCAAACCACTATCATTAATCGACTTGGGTAGACAAGACCCCTCCTAATTTGAAGCTATGCTTCTCCTCCGCCTCCTAGTCATCCCATTTTTTGTGTCTGTTAAATTCGGAACTACCTATATACGGGCCCTGAACCGGTAGAATAACGTTGCTGACAGAAGGGCATAAGGCCTTAGTCTTCGCGCGGGACATAAAGTGAAGAAATCAACTCAGAAAAAAAAAGAGAATGCAAGATGTGCCTGGGCCGGTTATTCACCGAAATATGCAAACCAAAGTGACTCGTCAATATTCATTGGACTAGGTTGTGTAATGATTCGTCCGCCTTTTTCTTCTTCGTTTCCCTTTCCACCTTGGTATTCCCCACGACTCTGATTTGATCACTTCGGACACTCCGATACTCACAATGAAACATTGGTTAATACCTCGTTGTGTCATGCCTGATTTTACATGGTCTGATGACGCCCGACCGGTCTTGAGCGACCAAATACCATCGACTCCTCGGCCAACACACCCACGACTGCGCCAATTTTGGGGGTTTCTCCACCATTATCTGAGACGCTTTTCTCGATCTTATCGCAGCTGGCTTGGAATAACTTACGACAATCAGATCGCCCAACTTCTATTTGGATTGTTTTTGAAATGGTCCGATGGTACTCGCATCGAGGAAGTGTTATCTATGCAAGTTGCACGAAGCGCAGGTCTCCCATTTCCAAGGGTGATTTGCTATGGCGACCATCCTGATACACCCCATGCACCTGTCTCTATTCTCATGACTCGCATACCCGGTGAGGAACTGGGTCGGGTCTACGAAACACTTAGCAGCGAGGATAAGAGCTCGATTCTAGAGGAGCTTAAAGACTATCTAGAGACCATACGAGGGTGGTCGAGTCTATGGGGTGGGCAAAGAATTTGTTCTCTTCAAGGCACCTCCGTCAGAAGTATCCGCGTTCCAAATCATTTTGCCGGACCATTTGAGTCAGAGGTGGACTTGAATGAGTATCTTATACGACCCGCTTGGTCGGGTGGTTTTTCGTCGGACACGAAATACAACGATGCACTCAATCGCACTAAAAGAATGAGAAGCTTGCCTCATCGTGTTGTTTTTACTCACGGAGATCTAAAGCACCATAATATTATGGTACAAGGGAATCAGCAGGCTGGTATCCTGAATATTGGGACTTCACTACTGCATTGCGTTTCACACCGGAGGACTTTTGGTGGTACAGTTTTGTGATCCAACTCGGTGGAGACTTATATTTGACAGAGCTGGATTGCGAGAAAGCCTTGACTTCTCTGACTAGCGCTTCCTATTATTGGTAAACAAGCAATAGTAGAAGTGTTAAGACAGATGGCTGAAGGATAGGGAACTCCATATAAAGTAGATGCTTCATAATTTGCGCACACAGAGAGTAGACCAGCTAATGGCTAGTCTGCCCACTTGAAAGTCATGACAGGAGCCCTGGAGAGCTCCTTCCAAAGTGGATCCTATAGATATCCAAATTAGGAAATATCGGCGCCTGAATCTTCCCCATATTATGCCTGAGGATTTGTAAACAATTGGTCAAAATATTTATGGTACAGGATCATGCACACTCTACTATTTTAACTTGTCTACACCCCCTCAACCTTCTCCCCAGGAGCCAGCATCTTAACATACTGGTGCTCCCCGGTCTCAAGAACCTCAACGGAATCCCCAACTCTCATTACAAACTCCTCTTTTGCAGGAACAAGCTGCATCCCCAAACACGCATTAGTCCGATCCCCATCATCAATCCGCCGATAGGATTTCAGTGTCCGATCCGGTTCAACCTTATGTCTATCCCCAGAAAGAGGATCAACATTGGGTAGTCGGCACCGAACAGTTCGGCAAGAAGCGTGGATCTCCGTGCCGCCAATAGCAAGCCGCTTCCAGTGATCTTCCTCAAAAGCAGACGGGCCTTGGACGATGATGTTTGCGCGGAAGCGGCGGATGCTTAGTCGCGGGATTGCGTAGGCGCAGCGTGCTGCAACATCCCGGTGACTGGAGATGTTGAGCAAGTGGATTGGATATGCGTCTGCGAAGGCTGTATTTGGCTGGAAGCCTAGGTCTGCTTTGCGCGGTGCGTTACGGAAGATCTGCCGCGAATGGGGTGCACTGGCACGGAAGAGTGTCAGGGTGTTTTTTGAGGGGTCGGACTCTAGATATGCGTGTAACGATGCTGGGAGCAGTCTGCCGTAGTCATGGGCCAGAGGCTTGTCTTTCCAGATCTTGACTGGGACTAGTGGGAAGTTGGAGTCCGCGGGTGGAAGCAGCGGGACTTGGAATTTCTGCTGGCTTTTGAGGAACTTGAGTGCCATGCCGACCTTGATGGGTAGACCCTTCCATCCTGCTGGCGGCATTCGTGGGTACGATATCAACAGCACACCCTGCGATTTGACTTCCGGCAGGTTTGCGTCATAATCTGGGGCAGACGGGTCAGGAACCCAGATCTCGGGATGGATCAAGGCTAGGCGATTGAAGCCTGCATTGCGCAGGGTGCGAATGTTCCATTCATCGTTGTTGTACCCTGCAAAGACGAATTGGCGATCAAATTCAAGCCCGGTGGATACGACGTTTGAGACTTGTAGCTCGACCGCACCACAGGATTTGAGCGGGTAACTGAACAGTGCTTTTACGCGCCAGGATGGGCGGCCGTGCTCATCTTTGTTGCTGGGTTGACCCTGGCTATACTTAGGGTCGAACTCATCGTCTAGGTTGCTTTGGCCTGGCGGAAGTCCTAGGCGACGACATCCCTTGGGATTGATTGGTGTTTTCAGTGTTTTCAGAGCAAGAAAAAGTACAGATAGGAAGAATAGGATGATCAAATTTGGGAGAATACCATCCCCGAGGGAAATGTCGACATTGGACATATTGAGAAATATGAAGGACTCTAGATCGAGATCGCGATCGCGAGGGAAAAATTAAATCCTACTCTCGGAGGAACCGTCAACACCCCACTGCGCTGCTTATGATGGCATTTTTAATGTCATTTTTAGAATGAGATTGAATACAGCGTTAGAGCTTGAATTTATTTCCCTATTTTTCTACTAAATTGCCTTCCATTGGCTTTGCTGCCAGCCATCCTGATGCGCCCATGAGCATCAACATGGACCTTCTCGGTCTCGACGGTCTCGAAGGGTTTGACGAAGACACGCGTAAGTAATTTCTTCAAGTGCCTTGGAAAAAAACACAAACATTAAACTATCCCCCAGCGCCCGTGGTGTCGATCTCCGCATCCCAGTCCCTCAACGCGTCCGCCGCTACCCGCGACCCGATCGCGACTGGTTTGTCGCGTCTGGACGAGGCTCTGAATGACCTCCCAGACCAGCCCAATCAAGGGGGCATCCTGCGTGGACATGTTACAGAAATATTCGGACCCCCAGGAGCCGGGAAGACCTCGCTGGCGTGAGTGCACCCCCTATCCACACCGCCAGAGTCCGATCTGATCCATTTACAGGTTGAATATTGCATGCAATGCGCTACGCGACGGCAAAGTAGTCTGGATTGGTATGTTCCTGCCAGTTCCCTGAGTCCGCTGTGCTGTCCTACTCACACCGTTAGACACGGGATCTCCCTTGCCCAGTCCCCGGCTCGAGGAAATGTCCGTCAATCTCGATGACTTTATCTATTTTCGGGCGCATACGCTGGCTCATCTTATAGCCCTGCTTGCACGTCCACCAAAGGGGTTTCCGCCGTCGGAAACCAACCTTATTGTCGTCGACTCTGTGTCGAATTTATTCCCAGCTTACTTCCCCAGCGCCCAAGAGCTCAAAGACCAGCTCGCCGAGGGGAAAATCACCGATAAAGCACACCTGCAATGGCTGCTCAATCGCAAATGGAACATTGCTAGCGAGCTAGCCACGCATCTAGCTAAACTCGCCGCGAGAAATATCGCCGTATTGGCTATTAACCAATCCCATACGAAGATCAAGCCTCAGTCTCATGCGGTTCTGCAGCCGCTCTTGTCGGGCAGCGCGTGGGAGGCCAGCGTGCAAACACGCATTGCGGTGTATCGTGACCTGCCGGATGAGCGATTTGTGGAGGTTGAAAAGCGTGCGGGTAAGCCACTGCCCGAGCAAGCCGAGGAGCTGCTCGTGGCGTTTCGCATTGAACCAGTATGTCAATACCCGGGTCTGCTGTATACGATTGTGCTTCTAATTTCCCTAGGATGGTCTTTATGAAACGGAGGGAAAGGAATCTTTAGCCTCCGAGCCTCTTACTCCGTTGGTAAAGCCCCCTCCCGACTTTGAGTACTATGATCCACCTACTCCAACCCCTTCGCCTATATCCTCTGTGCTGTCTTCTGCACCACCATCTCCGGAATTGAAGTCTCCATCCCCATTACCGTCTAAGCCAATGTCACCAGAACAGCCTGTACAGACACCAAATAAGAAACGGAAGGTAGAGGAGGTAGCCGACAGTCAGGATGAAGATTCCGAGGAAGAAGATGTCCCATGGACAGCCGAGGCAACCCTGAACACGAATCAATCGTGAAATCATATATTATTTCGAAGAATTATTAGCCTATAAGCATAATCAGATAATAGTAGAAAATACTATTTCAATTTTTTTTTTGTATTCCATATCTTTGTTGGACATCTCTTTCAGTATCTATTTTTGGTATTTGGTCTACGGAGGTATAGACTATGGAGTACTATGGAGTACTAGTACTTCGTACTCCATACGCGTATGTATGTCTTTCTCACATGCAAGAAAATAGTCCACAAAATCAGATCCTTCAAATCCTTTCCAAATATTTCCAATACTTTCGAATTCCCACCTACTAGCAATGAGCAAAAATTAAAATAATTCGGACTTATCCTCCGATGCCGGACCATTGAATGTGTGATTGAACGCCTCCCCCTTCCCCCAGGGTTACCCCGGACTCCCAAGACTCCCAAGGTTTGACGCCCCTGGAAAACCCCATGAAATATGAAACACCCTTGTGAACACGCTGAACCCGAGGCTTCTTTCGTTTGTTTCTCTTTTAAAGTCCAAAAATTCGATCTGCATGAGCATTGGCACTTTCTGGCAACCCTGTACGACCAGTCCATATCCCACACTACATTCACTCTTTCGTCTTTTTGTCTTCTCGCGTGTTTTCCTTCTTTGCATTCTTAAAAATTCGTTTATTCCCCCGTTTGTCCATAAGAATATGTGGACTTACCAAACAGGGTGAACTAGACTCCCTCCTCGAGTCCAGTCGCTCATATAGCTCCTCCCAAAGCCCCGAATGAGTCTCTTTCACAACAACCATGGCCACCGTTCCCCAGGACCTACTGGATGGGATATCCGGCACCCTCGCGAAAGAGGGTGAAATACTGCAGATGATCCTCGTCACTTTCATTGGACTATCATGCTACAATGTCGCTGAGCTACTTGTACTCGTTCCAGCTACCTTCCGCCGGTGGCGCGGGCTCTATTTCTGGTCCCTGCTTGTCTCAGGAGTCCTCGGCGTCGTACCATACTCAATCGGTTTCCTGATGAAGTTCTTTACTCAGACCGACTCCGTGTTGTCGGTCACTGTCCTGACTATCGGCTGGTGGATCATGGTGACGGGCCAATCCGTGGTGTTATACTCACGACTCCACCTTGTGTTACGGGATGAGCGCATGCTTCGCCGTGTATTGCAGCTCATCGTCGCGAACGTCTTTCTACTACACTTCCCCACAACAATCCTCACTTATGGCGCGAACATCGTGCATAGCGGCGACGCCGCCTGGGTGAATGGGTACAATATCATGGAAAAGATCCAGTTGACTGGGTTCACAATTCAAGAGAGTCTGCTGTCCACGCTGTACGTGATTGAGACAGTCAAGCTCCTGCGTCTCGGGGCGGATGTGTCTTCGCGTCCGGATGCGCGGAGCATCATGTACCAGCTGATCGGGATCAACTGCGCAATCATTGGGATGGATCTGCTGCTTCTGAGTCTCGAATACGCTGATATGTACGCCGTGCAAATTACCTTGAAGGGGTTTATCTACTCGCTCAAACTCAAGTTTGAGTTTGCTGTACTTGGTCGTCTGGTAGATCTCATCCAAGGGTCCAGACATCCCATTTCCCTTGCTATTGCCGATACATTGCCTCTTTGCTCGATGCAGAGGCCCCCTGAGACGCCGGATCGCAGTGAGGATTCGCCTTATGAGCAGGCTGAGCCGAAGGACTTTTTGGCCCCGCCGGTCGGAGGCCAAGTTATTCAGAGGAGGATGTTTGTGGAGCCTGGGAGGGCGGCTTCATTAGCAATATAACGGTGTACAATGAATATAATGATAATGATATCGAACCAAGTTTGGCATTGGATATTCGGAGTGTTGAAGTCCTAACAGGAAAGACAGTATAAGTGAACGGTTGTGAGGAATGGGGACGAATTAGAAATCAGGGGTGGCTCGGACCATCTTCTGGCGCTTTGAAGCGTCCTGGTTTTGTCATCAAGGTACGGAGGTGACATGAAGTAGACCATTAGGTAGGTAGCCATCTGTGGGTGGCCATGCCATTTGTAATAGGGAATCGATCACCAGACAAAAAGGAAATGTTTCATTCGAGTCTACATAAATTATGTGTTCTCGTTCATAGATTGGTCAGGTAGTCCTCGATCTGTTCCTTGGTCAACTTGCGGAACCGTGGTCCCTGAGCACCCTCCACTCCCTCGAAGCCCAGCAGGTGGTCCGCTGGCGGGCCAACAATGCCTGGAGCGGTGTTAGTCGATGTTCACCAGACCCTTGAATAGCCAAGCAGCCAGAATGGGAGGAAACTAGGCAGAACACCCAAAACTCACCGATTTCTATTGTGTCACCATTCATCTCACCCTCAATCGTCTCCTTGAGTGTCAAAAGCGCGATGTGGATGGCATCCTCCAATTCTAGTCCTTCAGTGTACCGTTTCTCGAGGAACGTCTTGGCGCTTGTTGCGTGTTTGCCGATGGCCGTCGCCTTCCATGGGTAGTAGCTGCCGCTGGGGTCGACCTGGTACAGACTGGGCCCACCCTTCTGGATACCACCAGTCTTGCTGGAGATCTTCTGCTCGGGGTCATCCTTCTTAGCCTCTTCCGACTCAGGCTCAATGCCCTCGTCCCAGCCTGCGACCAACAGACTGACACCGTACGGCCGCACACCACCGGATTGCGTAGCTTCTTGCACCACCCGAGCGACATCCTGAACCAATATACGAGTAGGAGGGTATTCGTTGTAGATACGCTTGTAGCCTGTGTGCGAGACCTTGCGGGCCTTGTCGACCAGCACCCGGTAGTCGGGGCCCATGCCGGCGTAGACCATGCCAATATCAGGAGTGATCAGTGAGATCTTGGAAAGCGAGGGAGGATCGATCAGAGGCGAGGAGGACTTCTTCTCAGTCGCGAGCACAATGCCGTTCGTAGCTATCACGGGGCAGTCAGCTTGGCCCTATGTAGGAGAACTTGGGCGTTTGCATACCTTTGATACCAAGGGCAGTCACACCCTGGTTGACCGCGTTCAAGGCATATTCTATATTAATCAGTCATCGATACCCAAGCTCGGAGACGATGGTCCATACCAATTTGCACCAGCTTTCCGCTGTAATGGAGCTGAGTTAGCACGTTGTCAATTCCATAGGACAAGTCGTCCTTACCTGGGGGAGAATGTAGTCAAGGAGAATGAGTATCTGTCCGCCATGGTTCGCTGTCAATAGAAAAAGAAGAGGAGAGGATGGAAAGATCGAAAGAGGGAGAGCTGTGTTGTAGGCAGAGAGGGTGACGTTTGGCGCGGTAGAGCTCATGAAAGGCGGTGACCAGATCGGGATTAGCCGTGGGGTTTGGGACACCTTCGGCTTTTCTGCTTTTCCTCCTCTTCTTGTCGTTCTCTTTTTTTTCTACACCCCAAAAAACGAAACAGTAATTCTCCCTCGGCCTTCTCTTGTCAAGGTTCGAGTAAATCTCGATGTGAGACTCAATGGAAGACACTCAGCATTACCCCCCACGGGTCTGTCGTATCTGCCTAGAAAGCGTGCTGCCTACTTTCCAACCCTCAGAATTCCTCCAGAAGCCTCGAGTGGTTTATGAATCTTCCGATCCAGAATCTGGACGTCTGCTAAGCCCGTGCCAATGCAAAGGTTCCTCGCGTTATGTCCACGAGGGCTGCTTGCAGTCATGGCGCCATGCCGACCCCAAATATGGGACAAGAAACTTCTGGCAATGTCCCACCTGCGGCTTTCAGTATCGCCTGGAGCGTCTGACTTGGGCTCGGTGGATTAGTAGCGCCACTACTCAGCTAATCCTCACACTCGGCATTCTTTTTTTAACCGTATTCCTGCTTGGATTCATTGCTGACCCCATCATTGATTTTTATTTGGGCCCCGTGGATGTTTACACTGAATTGGTCGAGGAAGATACCTCCTGGCTGGGACACTTCCTCAAAGGACTCGCGTCTTTGGGCCTATTATCGTTCCTTAAGGCCATATTTGCGCTGTCGCCTTTCCCTTGGAACCTCCGGTCTGTGGCATCGGGGCGGAATTCGGGCCGTAGCCGAGCCGCCCAGTTGAACTGGCTAGTGGTCATGGTTGGCATCGGTACTTTCCTTTGGGTATGTGTGGTCACTGTTGGTTATACCTGACTTGGCTAACCGCAGATAGGCTGTCTACAAAGGTGTTCGGTCATGGAGTAGACGAACGCTAGAAAAGGCTGGCGAACGAGTCATGGATGTCCCACTACCAGATGAGGACAGTGATAGGGACGTCCCAATACCGGACGACGCTGGAATGAAGGAAGAATAGTTCTAAGCAATGAACTCGCACTACTTAAGTTGCCGTCCTCCTCTGCCCCATGAGACGTCGATTAGTCAATGTGCGAAGAACAATAACTGCCTTCAATAACTCTTGATTGTCTGCCTGAGAAGCAGATGATTGGCTCGAGAACGTCTTGTTCTCAAGTCATTCGCTGCTTCACCTAATCAGGCAGCGTTCTTGGGGAAGGCAGTCCACCACTCAATTCTAAAGAAGCGTTCTGACCTTGGAGTCTGACTTATTAGCGCTTTTGGATTGAGCAGCGGTAAATTCATGTATAGCCATATTTCCTATTCAGTCCTATTCAGCCCTATTGTCTGATTGTCTTATCGTCCCATTGTCCATTCTCACATCGCGTGCCTTATCAATAACATCAATACATTATTATGGCAGCAGTCTGTCTCGTTTTAAGAACACCTCATCTCTCCCCCCCTCATCCCCCCTTCTCTTCCCCTCATGTAACTCAACATTCGTCCCATCTTCGCAAAATGGACGATCTCCCACCAGGGTCCCGTCTCGCGGTTGTCCGCTCTCAAGTCGCGATGGACTCTGAATCGGAGGAATCTGGATCTACTACCCCTACCAACGCAGATACTGCAAACACAGAGACTGAACCATTCCCTGATACTGAGCCATTCCCTGAATACAACGAGTCTGAGTGTGAAATGCTTGCACCTTCTATCGCAGCCGACAAACGCCTCGAGGAAGCATGGATCCATGCTCTCGGTAAAGCTGCCCAGCAAGAGATCCGCATGCTCCATGTCGACCCCAACATCGTCCCATATTTCCAAAATGACCCGTCTCACCGCAGCCAAGTCGTCCTCGAACAGCTGCGAGACCTTCTCGCCGACCCGCAAGTGCGTCCTGAGATTCGAGAGCAATTCATTACTATCATCAACTCCACTCTCCAGTTTAACCTCGTCATCTTCCACCAAAGCCCGGAGTTTCTGGCTCCCAAAGAAATTAGAGATGCGGAACTTGACCTCGAGACCGTTCTCAACCACATCGAATTCATGGAAGAAATGCTCAGAGAGCAGCTGCAGACTGCCGATCAGGCTTTTTACGCCCTGGAGGACATTTCGATGGAGGCTACGTCGGCCTACGAGCGCCTCTGCAAGATGGCCACTGTGTTCACTAGGTAAGTGCCAATACCCTTGTTTCTTGTCTACCCTTTGCTTCAGCACCTCTAACGCGCAATGAATAGGAGCATGAAAAAGCCCCGTTACCTTGAACAACGACTGCTTGCTTTGTACATGGACATGTATGAGGAATGGATCCACAATCCTTTCTTTCTTCTGCGCAGCCGTCAACTCCTGAACGAACAAGACCCCAGCCTCGCCCGCACAAAGCTCTCGCGCCGTGTCCTGGTCATCTGGGAACTGATGAACAGCTGCATCGAAAGCTACGGCACCTTGACCTGGCTCACTCTCGAGACCAAACGACTGTACTTTACGCCAATGATGGATTATCTTTGTGACTCGCCAGAGATCTGGGAGCACTGCTGGGATCGATACCAAGCACTCGAGAAGGATCGGCTTCGGTCAGCTGGGCAGGATTCGTCTCAATATGCCACCATCTGAACGACGGAAGAGTCACTGCGCCATGGCATCGCATGGCATCGCATGGAATATCTTCTTGATCTCTACGATTTTACGATTTGTTTTTACTGTTTCAAATACCCCCAGATGCAATGTTTCAAGCGACAGCACAGACACATAACGAAATTCAATGTGAACATTCTATTCAAGCCTATCTCCCCCGTAAACTCAAGCCGTACTATCCTTGTAAGCCCCGAGTTTAAACAACTTCTTCGCATTCTCCCTTCCAATCTTCAATCGATCCGTATCCGACATCTCCGCGGAATCAAACCACTCACAAGCATCCTCAAACGTCTCAAACGGATAATCAATCGAGAACAAAATCCGATCAGCCCCAACCTCCGCCATGCAGAAGTGCAACGTAGTAGTCGAGAAATGTCCCGACGTCGTAATCCACAAATTCTCCGCAAAGTACTCCCGAATCGTCCGCTTACACGTCTCCCTAAGGCCAAGCATCTTCTTCCGATCCTCAAACCAGTGGTTGATCCGCCACATATCAAACGGTATGTGCTCCCCCAAATGTCCAAGTATAACCTGCAGCTTCGGGTTCCGATCGAACACCCCATTCGTCACCATCCCTAGAACATGCAGACTGACTCCGTGCGCGAATGACAGCGGAGGTCCAACAAGCCATTTCCGATCCGCCCAGAGTTTGTCGTAGATCGTACCTGTCGGGTTACGCGGGTGCAGGTACAGCGGTACGTCCAGCTCAGTGCATGTAGCCCAGAACACGTCCCACTTCTCGTTATCGTAGAAGATCATGTCGTCGCCGTCGACGCCAGCCCGTTGTGTGTCGTTCACAAGTGCCCCCAGGAACCCGTGCTGTGTTACGCAGCGTCGAAGCTCGGCTGCTGCTTCTTGCGGGTCGTGCATGGAGAGCGTGCTGGATTGGGGTTAGCTGGATGTGTACCATAGCTGTCATGGATGTATTGGTTTCCATTCGGGATTTGGGAGCTGCAACTTACGCAAATGCGGCAAACCGATCCGGGTGCGCCTTCACTTTCTCCGCGATGTAATCGTTGATCTCAACGGCGAGCGCTTGCGCGTCCTTTGCATCCCAGATGTCTTGTACGCCAGGAGCTGTGTAGCTAAGGATTTGGAGACCGACACCGTGGCGCTCAGCGAAGTCAAGACGGATTGGTCCGACGTCGTTGATCTCAGCGGTGTGCTTGTCTGTATCAGTGGCGAACATGCCTGCCCACCATTTTGTCTTCTCGTGGAACCGGGGGAGCGCAAAGGCTTCCTCGAGGGCAATTTTTCCGAGCATCTTGGTTGTTATTTATGGAGTAAGAAGGCTTGAGGATGTAGACAATCTTATATGAGTATGGTTCTCAGCTGCTTTATAACATTTATAGCATATGCGGAGACCCCGCACTTCGGAAGCGTCTAGGCATTCCTAGCTGTTACACTGAACCATGGGCACTGTCCATCGGAATGGCCATCGGATATTCAAAGGAAGTACATTATGTGTATGCAAGGGAGGCATCCGATGGCGGTTCGCTGTCGGGGCGGATGCGGGGAGCGGTTGGCAGCGGCGGTTTCAGGTCATCTCTACTACGTGCTAAGTCTCGTCACAGATCGCAGTCCAATTCCATGAGTAGGTGAATCCCGTTTAGATTGAATGATCTCAATCACTTTTTCTTCGATCAGGCCTTTGGCAACCAGATGACGAACATATTCCATAGTCCATTCTTGACACCGCTTGTTGGTGGTCTAGAAATTCGAGTGGGTGAGTTTACTCTAGACTCTACAATCCTCCCCAAGGGTATATTCCACGTTACTCACATCGTTGACAGGTGCCATGAAGTTCTGGCTGATCCCCGGGGTCGGGATTTGTGTCGCCGCTAGTTCGATATTCCCTCGGGGAGTGGAGTCGATAGATGGAGCCGCATCTGGGGAATCAACGATATCGGACGAGTGAACATAGCCGATTGAAAATTTTTGATCGTGAGGCTCGAGACTGGGATTGTAGTTTCGTTTAAACTCTAAGACATAGCCTGCCATCGGTGCACCAACCGCGTGGATTTTGGTTCCCCGGTCGGGATTGGTAGCTGATGGGACAAATATTGAGAAGTGGGCTCTTTGGAAGGATGTATTGCGAGCAGAGATGAGATAAATTGTTCTTGTCGCCATTATTGCCCTTGGGGGTTTATTGTAAAGGAAAGAAGGATGTGAAATGGTTGAGCTCTGTATCAAATAAGAGTCATGCAGGCTAACCACTCCAGGTACCCAATGCTCGATAGGATAAGTATATTCAGTTTGGGTACATATAATTTAATCAAAATTGTCTATTGTCATGGAATATCATAAGAACAAGGCTTTTCAGCTTATATAGCTAGAAATTGATTTGCTCGGAAGGCCACTAATCCATACGGTAGCGGTAGCTTTCGGCTCAGAATGAAGAAATAAAATGAGGCCTGTCGGCATGTAATATCACTTTTCAACGAACTTGATTCCGCATCCTTCCATTGGACGACAAGTTGCAGAGTCATTCCAGTCGGGAGGGGGGAGACGATTGATCTTTTTGCCCTGGTCATCAACCATCGTAATATCAAACCGCATCAAAGCATAAACAACCACCAGTTTCATACTCAAAGTAGCAAGTCGCTGGCCTTTGCAAGCATGTGATCCTGCACCCCAGCCAATAAACGGTGTGTCCTTTTCAATTCCCCGAGACGGATCCCAGCGAGTTGGGTCCGGGTAGTACTTCGGATTGAGTGCTGTATCCGAAAATGGATACAAAACGAGAGATCCCGAGGGGATAACGTATGGCCCGATTGTAAGGTCTGGTCCGGTGTTCTTTCGCACTGCTGTGTATGGCTGTGAGGTGCGCAGTGTTTCACGTATGCAGAGGTCGAGATTGGGCATTTGGGACTCCCAGGCTGCGAGTGGAATTTCCGAGAGGGCTTGGACAAGGCCGTTCCCAGAGAGAGAGACTGATGAGGATATGTGAGTAGATACAAAGGTCTTGATTTCCTCTTGAACGTTCGAGGACCAAGTTGGGTCCGAGGAAATATGCATGATCAGCCATGTCACTAGAGGGGGTGATCGTTAGTGTTATTCAATTTGGTGTTCCTGAATATCAAAACTTACCTATTGTTCCAGTGGCGCGAGCTCCAGCCAGTGATAGACCTAGCATGCACTTCCGAGAGAGTTAGATCCTCAACCAAAATAGTTGGAAGAATAGAAATGTGGTAAGAATGCTTACCCCGAAGATCCGAATTGTACTATCTCCTTCATCAATCATCTGCTGCAGCATATCATTCCTCTTGATTCCGCTCCTCTTTCTGGCGTGAATGGCCGCTTGAACAATTCTGTAAATTTGAACGGAGGCAAAGAATTTGTGGAACAAGGCTGGGCCAGGTAACCAGGGGAACCAAGTCGAGTGTGGGTTAGTTATCGAGTCGACAGTGTCGACAAGTGACTTGAGACGAGCTAAAAGCATTGGATCATTGGCGATATCAAAGGAAGCAATGCACATGACCAATTGAAAAGTGACCTAGGGAGAAAGCGATGTGTCTTAGTTTCCTATCTGTTAAAGATAGAACTCAGATCCACGTACCTCGTGAAGGGAAGAGCAGGGGTCCAGAATACGCTTGCTACCCCATGCGTTCATTTTGCGCTGACATTCCGACAGAATCAGTGAAATCACTGTATGGATATATTAGTCAAGCTTCTGCTTCATCGAGAACAGCATAGACTCACCTTTCTGGAGATTCTCAGGTCGTTGGATGGAAGCCATTCGTCTGACTACGCCACTGACTTGGTGAGGGTCAAATTGAGCAGCGCTCTAAATGCAAGAAGAAGTAAGTGATTGCTAAGGTCAAAATCAATGATCAGGAACCTTACACTGCCCATCATGATCGAAAATGTATCATATAAACAGAGACCTTTCTCCTTGAAGAAGAACTGTCGGCCTTCATCTCCGGATAGAACGATGGCGGCATGTCGGAACAGACTGGTCTGGTAGATGGAAGATGATGTAGCCCTGAAGCCATCCTTGATGAAGTCAAACCTCTTCTCGAAGAACAACTGGGTGACCTTCCAGCCAGGCAATTGCAAACGCGGAGGGGAATGGCATCTTTGGGGTGGAGATACCGCTGGGATATAGAGCACTTTATAGAGCAAAGCAGAAAGTAGAAGGATCACTGAGGCCAGGCTACCCAGGTCTCGAAGAGTAGCCGAGTCATTGCATGAAGCAAAGACCAGTTGGGTCAAAGTGCTTTGCAGCATTGTGAAGAAATGTCAGAAAGAAGTAAGTTGCAGGATTGTAAAGTGACGATAGTAAGGAAGTCTTTATACCCCGAAAGGATATGTAGCAATAGGCCCCGAAGCGGGGGGAATTCAAGCTGAGGAGATTCTATTTTGCTTCCTGCCGAAACTGAAATGATTGCACCGAACCAATGGCTTTTATACTGTTCCTTCCTTCTTCCTTCTTCCCTCTTCCTTCTTCCTCCTTCCTTATATGTCACTTTTGCCCTGGCCCTTTTGCCCTGGCCCTAATCCACCTGGGCAGAGGATTCAGCTAGAGCCCGGCGACTGCGCCATTCACACTCACACCTTCCTTGACTCACACTCGACAAGCTAATCTATCTCGTATATCTTACTCCGAGGTTAGCTGTATCTATCCAGGAAGTAGCCGCTGTTGGCTATTGTCTCGGATATTGTCAGCATTAGCGCGATGCATACAACACCAGATTTTGACTAAGGCGGACCGTTGACGCCAAACCAGGAGGCTTATAAGCCCATTGTATTTTTGTATGTCACTAGCTTCTCCCCTCTCCACTCTAGGGTTCGGATTTGAGCGAGTTCTGATGCCTACATTGGGGCGGAGACCTCTTTAGGTTAGGTCAGGCACCCAGGGCCTTTAGAAGGCTCACTTCCAGCTCTGGATGGTTGACACTGTTCAGGCAATTTTTTTCAAACCAATTAAACATTGAAATTGTACTTAATCTCTCAATCGTACAAATTGTGGGGTTCACTAGGCTGTCAAATCAACTAGTTGAGGCTGAGCCCTTCCAGGGTGGAGATATAGAGATGTAGATATGCGAACCTGAATCATTTTATTTTCTACAAATATTATGATTTGTGACTCTTTCCTAATTAATTAGTTAGGCCCTTCTACAATGATTCGAGATCAACCACCGAAATCCCAAAGCTGTGGGGGGCCCAACAAACGTCCGATTTTAGATCTCACGACCTTGTGTCTGATAGGTGTTATAATAGAAGATCTTACATCTTACATGCGAACTATTCCAATGTATATCTGACTCATCTTCTGTGGCTACCGTAGGTTGGTACTTACCTGGCCATATAGAAGAACATAAGTTCGTTTCTTCTCGCCTTAATTTCATCAGAGAACCAACAATAACTTGAGGATCTCCCCCGATTGGCCATGCTATTAGTTTACATAGCGCAGCCATTCATATGTCGATTAGCGCTGTTGGTCGCGCCACAATGCACTGGGGGTCAAGCTGATTGGTTTCGGACACCGACCAACCTATAACAAATATAAGATGACCTTTATGTTAATTCTCCATGGAAAAAAATAAACTAAAGTAGTCGAAGGCGCCTAATAGGAGAGCAATAGTAAGAAAACCCCGTATCTATACATGGAATTTTTGAAAATTACCATTTATTCTCATGAATCCAAACGATTCAATTACATTGCTTTATACAAACTGCATAAAAAAGCATCTAGACTCAAGTCATTGAAATTCAGACCAATCCTTCTGTGACCGGGGGTGACATGGGCTAAAATTTACTATCAATACCAATATATTATAGTAGTTATATGCGAAAACAGAAAACAACCCGATCTAAGACCATTTCTCTTGACTTGATCTCTTCAAATACAGACCAAATATTACTCCATACCCATCTCATCAAGCATTAAATCCCACATCCTGAGCCTTAACCAATTCCTCCCTCTCATAAAGAACTTCCGGTTTAACATCCCTCCTGAACAGATATCGCTTGAAGAAATACCCAATTTGCCTCAACCCATACCGCGCATGGACCCTCGTCGGCACAGAAAATACCTGATCCAACTCCTCAAGAGTCTTCCCTTTTGTCTCAGGCATAAACAAAAGCACCATCCACCATCCAACCACACACCAGCTCGCATGCCAAGCAAATGCCCCCTGTGTTGTAAAAGCAGCGCGCAGTAACGGCCATGTCCCGCCTAGGATGAAATTACAGAACCACATCGTTGCCGTGCCTAGCGCCATTCCGTATGACCGGACATACAGCGGGTATACTTCGGCTGTGTATGTTAATGGCACGGGCCCTTCGCCAGGTGAGTAGGCCACGCCGAAAAGATATGTTCCTAAAGCGATGCAGGCGAGACGTGCGCTGTGGCTGCTCTCCGGGATCCAGAAGCTGAATCCTGTGAATAAAATTGCCATTGACATGAGTGGGAAGGTGAGTAACAGGAGATTACGTCGGCCGAATGTGTCGATTGTGTAGATTGCTGGTATTGATAAGAGCCAGTTGATCAGTCCCCAGCCTAATGAGGCGGCCAGGGCGGCCGGTGGAGAGAAGTTGGCCTAGGATTTCTGTCAATGATCTGGTTGGGAAAAGTGGGATCGATAGCTTGGACTGACCTCAAGAAATATCTCGGAAGAATAGTATGAAATAACGTTGACGCCACAGAACTGGTCATGTCAGTACTCTCTACAATGATTTTAGTATGTCTTGCCGAAAATCCACACTCACCTGCTGCATAAACATAACAATCTGAGACGCCAACATCGCTCGCCGATTCCGTGGGACTTTAATCAGTTCCAGCATCTTGCTACGCCCAAGCTTCATACTATCCTCAGCCTCCAGCAGGGTATGCATATAGTACAGGTCACGAGCGGCCTGGATTTTATGGTTCCGCAGCGTACAGATAGACCTGTAAGCACGGTAATATTGCTTCTGTCGCATGTACCAATGCGGTGACTCGGGGCAAGCGAAGACAAAACAGCAAACCACCAGAGCCGGGAACATCGCCGAGGCCATCATACAGCGCCAATTCAGGCCGACGATGGCACTCGAGTCGACATTGTAAAAGATAAGGTCTGCCGCATAGCCGACCATGATCCCAAAGGCCGTCCACACCTGCCACTGCATGACCAATGCACCACGGATGGACGGCGGCGCTGTTTCGGCTGCGTATATCGGCACAGTTGCTGATTTGGGGCCGATGCCGAAGCCTAGCATGAATCGTGCAACAAACATCGCCCACCAGGTTGAGACAAATCCCTGCCAGAGACAAGTTATTGCAGACAACGAGCATGCTATGAAAATTGTGCCGCGGCGCCCGAACCAGTGGTTGAATGGGACTGCTAGCCAGGAGCTGATGAAGGTGCAGCAGAGGTACGGCGCTGAGTTGACTAGACCGACGAGCCAGGCACTCCGAGAGGAGTCATCGCCGATGCCGAATTGGTGTTTGTAGAATATTTGGGCTCCGTTGACAACCGTTTGGTCTGTTGTTGTCAGATAGGGTGTTCTTGTGGTTCGGGAACTATCTCGGACTGAACTGCTACTTACCCATTCCCTGAACTGTAGCAGATAAAGAACACAATGTAATGACAGCATAGATTTTCCATGGTTGTGACCAGCGATGTGTGAACTCTCGACCCAATACTGCCTTCTCCTGGTTTGTTAGACCAGCGACATTGGCGTATCGTTCCGGAGACTGTGCCAGCACAGCACCCAGCTCGAAAGCACGGATATCAGACTCATCGCCCATCTCGTGAAGCTCAGCGAACTTGCGCCCCTGATTCCGTAGTTCGGTATGGCTGAACCCAGCTAATGGATTGGAGAGTTTAGCATTGAGACTGCGCCGTGCTCGCTCGGCAGCTGTCCCGAATGGCCGTTGCGGAACGACTTTCTCGGACAATGTCGTGTTTATTTTCTCCTTTTCTATCATTTCTCTCTATTTTTTGTTAAGCCTATGGAGGAAGATATTGAGGGGACCATGTTTGGTTTTTAGGGTTGGAAGGACTGGGTTCGGGGAACAAAGAAACTCGAAAGCAAGCAAAACACATGGACTTTGGATCGCTTTCCTCAAGGATATGTATGGAGTGCATCAATGTACATGCATAGAAACATTTAGGTGGATCTATCAACGGACCTGTCAAATAACGGCACATGGGGTTGGAGGGGGCGGATTACTAGATGGGGGTGCTCTTGGAAGTGATTGGCAGGGTTAGCGCTTATGGCAGACAAAGGATCGTGCTTTGCTATTTGCCCCATTTCAGGCTGTGCTTGCACGGCTGATTGGCAATAAAGTCAAGTGGAATAAAGGGGCGAATAAATTATAAACTTGATGGAGATAGTGGGAACTAGTATTTACATATACACTACGCGAACAGAACAAAATATATGTTTGTAATAAAGGTATCAATTGAATTCTCGACCCAAGGCCTAGTTCTATATTGTATGGAGACGAGCATTTGATAATCTGTGAAAATCTGTAAATCTGTAATCATATTAGCAATGATCGCATAGACTCGACATGAGAAATAAGGTCAAGAAGCTCTGTCAGATAACATTTATATAACAATTTTTATCAACAATATAGTTCAGAACAGGTCTGTGTGAAAAGGTCACTCATCATAAGAGCGAGAGAGAAAAAAAAAAAAAAAAAAACAATTCAAACTCACATTTTGAAATTGAAGCTGTCCCGATGTTGATGATCATTTCGGGGGACAGCTGGACATCTCGGAGATGTCTAGTCTTGATAGAAGCTTGGCAAGCCGAACATAGCTTCATTATGCTATGGACTTGCCATATACAACCAGAAGGTTAATGATGTCAAATTTTCAAAGAAAACAGGCCATTCAAAATGTCAAAAATAAAAAAGAAAAGTGATTGATGAAGATGAAATAGAGGGAAGAAGAAAAAATGAAAGCGCATTAAATAGTAAGTGGAGTGCCTGTTTGTGCTGTTTGCTCAAAAAAAAAAAGTGGAAGATGCAATTTACCAAAGTCGATTCTTTAGTTTTTTTTTTGGTGAAATTATTTTGGTATATTGCTAGCTCAGAGGATCTTTATAATTGTCCTGGAATACTCTCTCAAAAAATTATGAACGATACAGAAAGCCCCAGACTGGAGGAGCAACAGAGTAAGATCGTCCTGAAAAATATACCCCAAAGAGTCTCGACTAATCGATATCTACAATATACAGCTCCTACCAAGTCTCCCTTTGCAAATGTCCGCACCGATGGTCGAGCCTTCAACTCTGCCAATTGGCGCATGAAGGCTGAAAGCCCGGCAACACCATCACGCACCAATGCTAGCCCAAGCGCGAGCCCGAACCCAAACCCCAATACCTCTCGCGCAGCCTTTAGCCGGCCCGGAGCGCACGTCCCCCAAGCGATTAACGATGGCCGCCGCCTATACGTTGGTAACATGCCATACACGGCTAAGATGGAGGATGTGGAGGCGCTGTTCATAGCGGCCGAGTTCCCTATGTATGCCTGCACTTGAACCTGATGGCCCAGCCGTTGAATCGCCAACTGAACTCCCAAATAGCGAGCGCATAGATATTGCCATTGATCCGTTCACCGGCCGGAACCCTTCCTACTGCTTTGTCGATTTGCAGAACAAGGAACATGCCGAGCGCGCCATGACCGAGCTCGATGGTCGTGATATGTTGGGTCGCCCGGTCAAGATTAAGCCTGGTGTAGCCAAGTCTCAGGAGCGCACTCAGAATCCACTTGAGCCGTTCCGCACCGATCGCTGGCGTCAACAAGAGAGACCTAGCTTTGCTAAGGTTAACAATGACTCTAGTCGCGTGTATGTCGGTGGTCTGCCACGATTGACCGACCATGGGGCTGTGCAAAGCAACATGGAGGTTTTCTTCAAGGGATTCAAGATGTAAGTTCAGATGGCTTGGATTTTGGTGTCGTGTGATCAGTACTGATACCTTGTATTTGCAGTGAGAATGTCAGCAAGATCTTCGCCCCTCACCCCGCTAAGCGGTTCGATCCCGGCGAGCACTACTATCTGTTTGTTGATGTGGGTACTCCCGAGCAAGCCCAGAAAGCAATGGATACACTCAATGGTCAAGAAGGACCATGGGGTGGTCCGCTTCGTGTCCAGTTTGCTCGGGGTCCCAAGGATACCTGATCTAAGTCCAGGGCTTGCCTAAAAAAATTAAGTATTATTAATGATAGGACGTGTCACATTGCATGAGCTATGATACCTGACTAGACTACAAAATTACATGCATAATTATCTCGCTATACCTTTGATGGTTCCTAGTGTGTACTATTTATTTGTTGACACAATATTAGTCGGCTGACAACGTAGTTGGAGAATCAGAATAGTATAAAACTGACTATGACCCGTTCGGATAGCCGGACTGGTGGGCCATAGGGCCACTTTTCTTCTACAATTGACTCATCCGCACACCCGAAGATGATGCCACCCGAAGAAGGTCTTCATCTGTGAAGCCAGTGAGAATACAGTCCATGTTGAGTCAAAGCCCAACAACTATATACTTTATGGCCACATCTACTCCGTACAGCACTAGCTCAATGAAGGACACCGGTGTGATGACCTCGGGAAGACAAGTGTATATCCCAGCCTTTTCAAGGTTAGTACATCGATTTTTTTCAAACCATATATCGAAATTGTTTGTATAGACATGTGGTTGATTCTCTCGGGATTGTCCAGTGAGCCCGGGTAAAAGCGCTTGTATAAAAACAGCCGCATACATCATGAAGGGTTAACATGCATGAACGACGAGTATAGTGTTTTCCAAGATTATTTACTTTAGTCTTTATGGTTTACATTAGAAGTAGGAATAACGTACAAATTATGAAGAAATCTCTAGACCAGATCTTAGATATGCATAAAACCAAGCAAATTAACAAGATCTCATATCAAAATCTCCAAGTTTCAAAGTGGATTTGATTCATTGGGATGACGTTAGTGGGGAATCCAGACTCACCGCATTATGCGCCTCCCTGAATTCTGTTTCTTCTGTTTCTTCTGTCCTGTTTCTTTTTTGGTTTTTTTTATCTCTTTGGGTCTTTTCATTGTGAATTCATATTATAATCCATTCCTGCAGGTCATATTCTTCCATATCGTCTTCACCAAACTCCCATGTTGGGTTAAGTTTTGCTCCTTGGTCCTCCGGCTTCGGGTAATTGCTCCTAATCTTCCCGAGATTCTTGTATTTGCGCTTCTTCATATAACATCAACCTCAAAATGGCTTCAAAAAGTGTCAAAAGCCAGTATAAGGCATTCGTTGCAAGTGTGAGTGGAATCCCTCTGTTTTTGCCCTTTGATATGCGCGGGGTTGTTACGTTGTTACTCTGCCGAGGCATTGTGTGTACGTGGGTTAGGTTGATTTGGGATTATTGATCTTTTATGTTGGATGAAGTATGAAATGCCTCAAATAATAGGCTTTGGGTCCGAGTTATGATGCAAAAGCAAGTAGAGGTGAATTGTGCAAGAGTACTTGCAACTTTCTCAGCAATTCTACAAGTTTGGGTGTTTTATACCTTCTATCTTGTCTACCTTCTGTTTTCTTCTTTTTCCCACAATTCCCCCAACATCATCAAACTCTCTTGCTACCTTCAGTTCTTTTTTTTTTTTGGAAAAAGAAATAAAAATGTCAGCTGTTAACTTTGCTACGCAGTCCGACGACACAAAGATATGTGTTGTCATGGTGGGCCTCCCGGCCCGAGGCAAGAGTCTCATCGCCGGCAAGGGTAAGTGAGCCAGCCATCCCATAAATGAACATGTGAGACTGACTCTTGACAGCCATGCGCTATCTGGGTTGGGTCGGTATTCCTGCACGAGTCTTCAATGTTGGCAGTTATCGCCGCTTCAGTACCCCACAGCCACAGGCAGCCTTCTTTGATCCTCACAATGCAGAAGGCGAGCGCATGCGCAGAGCTGCCGCGGAAGCTGCCATGTCTGACATGCTTCAGTGGTTCAATGCTGGGAAGGGTGTTGTGGCTATTTTGGATGCTACCAACTCCACAAAGGATCGCCGCAGGTGGATCTATGAGAAATGCACCGAAGCCGGTATCGAGGCTCTCTTTGTTGAGTCGATTTGTGATGACGAAGATCTGATCATGAGCAACATCAAGGAAGTCAAGACGACATCCCCAGACTACAAGGGTCAAGACCCCGAAGTGGCTGCGCTTGATTTCCGCAACCGCATTCGCAACTATGAAAAGGTTTATGAGACCATCGATGATGACGAGAAGAAGTATACTTATGTCAAGCTTATCAACGTGGGATCGACGGTCATCATCAACCAGATCAAAGATTATCTGTCGAGTCGTCTAGTCTATTATATCCAGAATATTCACATCAAGCCTCGTTCAATCTGGCTATCAAGGGTAAGTCAAAATATAAAAATTCCGGAATACTCTGGCCCAGGACTGACGAAAATAGCACGGTGAATCCGAGTTTAACTTGACCGGCCGGATTGGAGGCGACGCCAACATCTCCGAGCGCGGCGAGGCCTACGCTCGCGCCCTCCCCGAGCTAATACGCAAGTCTGGTATCCCTGACAACACCAAGATCGTGATCTGGACCTCAACTTTGCGCCGCACGATTCAAAGTGCCCGCCACCTTAAGGCAGCGACTGGCTATGAGACGCTGGAGTGGAAAGCCCTGGATGAGCTGGACTCGGGCGTCTGCGACGGGTTGACCTACGAGCAAATCGCCGAGGAGTACCCAGAGGATTTTGCGGCCCGCGATGAAGACAAATACAACTACCGTTACCGTGGTGGCGAGTCCTACCGCGACGTCGTCATCCGCCTTGAGCCCATCATCATGGAGCTGGAACGCAGTGAGAATGTCATCATCGTTACCCACCAGGCTGTCCTTCGCTGCATCTACGCTTACTTTATGAATATACCCCAGGAGCAGAGTCCTTGGATGGAGGTGCCTTTACATACTC